ACCCCATTTTGCGAGGCTAAAAGCAAACGCACCGCCGAGATAACAAGCAGATAATAGGAGACGGCTAATTAGGAGTGTGTCCCTTAAGATGGGAGTGCATTTGCCTAAGAGACCAGGAACCAATAGTCTATGTACAAATAAGTCCAAAAAAAGCAAACTCAAGACCTCCAACACAATCTCCAGCAGTGTGCGAATAAACCAAGAGTTGTCCAAGGACGCTGCAACCTTGGGGCTCAGCAACCTTATTATTTGCTTTCAGCAACTAGTAATAATAATAATAATAATATTAATAATAACTGTTATTGCGCACTTAAGCAAGGCACAAGCTGACTGAACCTCTGCCTCTATCGAAGCATTATGGGGCTGAGCACTTGATTGGTGATTTGGTCAGCGTCACTTAGGCCACATTTAGTCTATGGATATTTATTTATGGTACTCATCGTAGGTGATGTCTATCTGGGAGGTCAGGTATATTATGCTTTAAATCTCCCTACTGCAGATTCGAACCAAAGTCTTCAGGCCAAACCCGGATTAGAGCCATTTGATGCCCTAAGCACTAAAGATGATTTTTGTAAGGAGTCATTTTCTCACTGCTGGTCAATGCTCTTATTGTTTGAAAATGAGGACAACTACTAAAAGGAAATGATATGCTAGAACCCAGATGGATTACATCGATTACTAATCATTAATATACGCGCGAGCATATCGAATGAGCGATACTAACTCGAGCTAAACGTGCAGTTAGGCTGAAGTATGCCAGACGAGGAAACTGAGAAATTGTGAGTGAAACGTTTGAGTGAACGAGAAGTAGAATGACGATGTTACACAAAAATGTACATAATGGACAGAAAAGACTAAATTTATTGGTAACAGCGTGATAAAATATTAACATCTCGTGCGTTCGTCCATCGCAGGTGATGAGGGCCAATCTTTCTTTCATCCGTCATGAAGCTGCAGTTGAATGTTCTGTTTTCAGAACGTGCTAGGAAGAGTCTATGACAATAAGGGCAGGGCACTGTGTCTGTCGAGAAAAGGCCTGTTTGAAGGTTATTTCTGGCCTGTCTTCGCTGTTCAGCTGCCCTTATTCTAGATGCCTCTCAGATCGTTGCACCATTTCATACATATATGAGCCATAAAGTCCGGTCTTGTGTTGCAGCCTACAAGTTATAAGGGTTTATACTGGAGGCTTTCAATGATGTCTTCAGTGTGTCTTTGGAGCGCTTTTTCTGGCCCCGGTGAGAACGTCGACCTTCATCTATCTCGTCATAGAGGATTATTTTTGAGAGCCAATGGTCAGCATTCGAACAATATGGCCAGCCCATCGAATCTGTGATTGCATCAGGATGGTATTGATGCTGGGAATGCTAGCCCTGTCCAGTACGACAGTGTCCGAGACCACGACTTGCCACTTAATGTTCAGTATCTTTCTCAGACAGACTGTATAGAAGTGACTGAGTTGTCTTGGGGGGGGGGGGGGGGGGGGGGGGGGGGGGGGGGGGGGGGGGGGGGGGGGGGGGGGCTGAGGTCTGCATACATTCCAAGTTTCAGAGGCATACAATAGCACAGAAAGCACTGCAGCTCTGTATAATTTCAGTTTTTGTGTTACAGACTGATGCCACTACGAGGCCAGACACTCATGTATAACCTGCTAAATGTGCAGCTGAAACAACATTCTGAAACAATGTGCTACCGAGATATGTGCATCTATCCACAATCTTTAATTTCTTTGCTATTTACCAGAATGGTTGGTTCAGTATACACTTTGCCTGGTGCTGGTTGATACATAAGTTCGGGTTTCTCAGTGTCAATGGTAAGCCCAAAATTGGTACAGGCCTCAGAGAATCTGTCTATGTTATACTGCAGATCTGCATCTAAACCGGCATTAGGAGCACAGTCATTAGCAAACATCAGCAAATCATCTACACATATTATAAACACTTTCAGTCCCAGGCATATATTTCTGTAACACCTGACTTCCTAAACCATAGGTGTTTCAAACAGTGTACTTTTTGAAATTTATCACACAATAAGATCATGGAGCGAAATGTCCTGAAGTAAAGGTCTGGATAGAAGGGATTAAGGCAACAACTTGTAGGTGTTCAAAGTGCTCAAAAAGCATAATTAGCCTAGTAATTCAAACAAACACATAGTAGGTTGCTGGGTATTGAAATAGCCAAAAAATAATAAAAAAATAAAAAAATGGCATGTATCAGTTAAAATACTCTGATCCAATCGTAGTATAACAAAGGCAATCTCATATGTAAACAGAATGAACACGTTGTCAGACACCCATAAGCAAAGCGTATATATAAGAAATGAGAATCTCAGTTGATTTTTTAAATTTCGTTTATTCTATGTTAATGTAAATTCTGCAGCAGACTCTAGACGAGATTCAAGAGAATGTATAAAGCAAAAAATCGTAAAATGTACTATTTGTGCCCTAATATTTAAATTCTCAAAAGCAAACTGATTTGAAAACGTGAAATGTCAAACATTATAAATATTCAACACAACCCAATGATACAGAACCTCGCCGATTAATAAATTATTAGAAAGTCGAACCGAGACACTAAATTATTTATTATTTGCTTTACGAAAGGACCATGATAATACACTAGTTCTGTTATGACTTTTCTAAATTTATAAATTTCAGAAATGTCATAATTTACTGACATTTAACCTATAGCTTGGATTTGACACATCAATGGCTTGCTTTTCTTGTGTGAAAGCCTATGCACTGTTTTTCCTACTTTCTTACAGTAAAGGCCAATGCTCTGTCCTTATTTTAGTGAAAGTCTTTGTACTGTCCTTATTTTAGTGAAAGCCTTTGTACTGTCCTTATTTTAGTGAAAGACTTTGTACTGTCCTTATTTTAGTGAAAGCCTTTGTACTGTCCTTATTTTAGTGAAAGCCTTTGTACTGTCTTTATTTTAGTGAAAGCCTTTGTACTGTCCTTATTTTAGTGAAAGACTTTGTACTGTCCTTATTTTAGTGAAAGCCTTTGTACTGTCTTTATTTTAGTGAAAGCCTTTGTACTGTCTTTATTTTAGTGAAAGACTTTGCACTGTCTTTATTTTAGTTAAAGCGTTTGTACTGTCCTTATTTTAGTGAAAGCCTTTGTACTGTCCTTATTTTAGTGAAAGCCTTTGTACTGTCCTTATTTTAGTGAAAGCCTTTGTACTGTCCTTATTTTAGTGAAAGCCTTTGCACTGTCCTTATTTTAGTGAAAGCCTTTGTACTGTCCTTATTTTAGTGAAAGCCTTTGCACTGTCCTTATTTTAGTGAAAGCCTTTGTACTGTCTTTATTTTAGTGAAAGCCTTTGTACTGTCCTTATTTTAGTGAAAGACTTTGTACTGTCCTTATTTTAGTGAAAGCCTTTGTACTGTCTTTATTTTAGTGAAAGCCTTTGTACTGTCTTTATTTTAGTGAAAGACTTTGCACTGTCTTTATTTTAGTTAAAGCGTTTGTACTGTCCTTATTTTAGTGAAAGCCTTTGTACTGTCCTTATTTTAGTGAAAGCCTTTGTACTGTCTCTATTTTAGTGAAAGCCTTTGTACTGTCTCTATTTTAGTGAAAGCCTTTGTACTGTCCTTATTTTAGTGAAAGCCTTTGTACTGTCCTTATTTTAATGAAAGCCTTTGTACTGTCTTTATTTTAGTGAAAGCCTTTGTACTGTCCTTATTTTAGTGAAAGCCTTTGTACTGTCCTTATTTTAGTGAAAGCCTTTGTACTGTCTTTATTTTAGTTAAAGCGTTTGTACTGTCTTTATTTTAGTTAAAGCGTTTGTACTGTCTTTATTTTAGTGAAAGACTTTGCACTGTCTTTATTTTAGTTAAAGCGTTTGTACTGTCCTTATTTTAGTTAAAGCCTTTGTACTGTCTTTATTTTAGTTAAAGCGTTTGTACTGTCTTTATTTTAGTGAAAGCCTTTGTACTGTCTTTATTTTAGTTAAAGCGTTTGTACTGTCTTTATTTTAGTGAAAGCCTTTGTACTGTCCTTATTTTAGTTAAAGCGTTTGTACTGTCTTTCTTTTAGTGAAAGCCTTTGTACTGTCCTTATTTTAGTTAAAGCGTTTGTACTGTCTTTATTTTAGTGAAAGCCTTTGTACTGTCTTTATTTTAGTGAAAGTCTTTGCACTGTCTTTATTTTAGTTAAAGTCTGTGCACTGTCTTTATTTTAGTTAAAGTCTATGCACTGTCTTTATTTTAGTTAAAGTCTATGCACTGTCTTTATTTTAGTTAAAGTCTATGCACTGTCTGTCTTTTATGGGCTGGAGAGAATGATGCACCCTGATGTGAACAGAGGGTTCGACCGGCACACTACGCTTAGAGGAAAGGCAAGACGGACATACAGCCAGACTACAACTGGCACCATTAGTATTGGAACTCTGTGCTGGCTGCTATGGATGAGGACGGAGCGCATGTGGAAATGCCTTGAGTGGTGTGATGTCAATTCTTGACTTAACTCAACCGCACTGGCGACTTGATCTGGTAGCCATTTAAGACTGGGCTGACATAAGAGCCAAACTCGTGTCTGAAAAAAATAATTCCAATACCATGTGGATTTGAACGCACAACCTTCTGATCTACAAGCGCGAGTTTAGCTGCTACGCTACGACGTCTCCTAATCAGAAATATGGGGTCAGCTATATGAACCAAGAAAACCCATTTTTGTCTTGAGCATATACACAGCAATAAACATTCTTGTAAACGTTCATCTTGGTGGACGAGCTGGTAGCCCCGCACTTGAAGATGTGTTATTGTCGGCAATCCCTTATGTAGGAGCTGCTGGATGACATTGATAGCTTCACTTCTAGAACATTCAGCCAAGCAAGTTTTGTTCGGTGGCACATTGGTTTAAATCGTTGCTGCAATCATGCGGAGCATAAGTGATGCTCTGCCAGTCACAGAAACAAGATAAGCAAGAACTTGTCGGCACTAGTGTTTTCTCAATGCATCCGAGGTAGATTCTCAAGCACTTCTATGTTGGTGGGGAAAAGCTACTCATCTCTAACAGAAGGGGGCGGTTGCGCTGATCTGTTTCCAAAATCTAATAAAAAAATGAAGAACAAGAAAATCCGTTTTCTATGTGTGTAGAATCAACTACAATGTGGCAACAATACATTGGCAAATGGTATTTTAAAAACATTAAACCAAGATATTATCTCGTCTTTGCTAGCAGACATATCCTGTCGTAAGATGCAAAGCATTAATATCCGGTGTCATCATTATTATCCTTATCACAATAATTATCATTAACCATGCAGTTAAGTCACCAGTTTATGTTAATGACCCATAAAATCCCTCCAGCTTTAAAGGTCAGATGCAATGGACATCATTTGTAACAGCAGCAAACGTCAGTAGCATTGTTATGAAAACACGGTTATCTGCAGTCCAGCTATTAGTGCAACAGGAATGAATTCAGTTAACAAGATTTAGAGAGCTAAAATAAAAATTAAAAATGGGGCGGGGAGGGGGGAGGGGGGGGGGGGGGGGTTGGGTTAGAAACAATCAAACGGATCCAACTAGGTCTTTATCAACGAGCACAGCCATAAATAAAGTGAAGAACAAGAGTGGACGACCGGTTAAAGAATACAGCTCTAAAGGATAGGCAGCTAACTTTACCATTATTCTCAAGATCAACATCATCACTGTCACCAAATGTCCATCTTTTCATCAATCGGTCTCAGAAATGCTCATACATACAGAAGTAAAGGACCTTGTTTGTTTTTTTGACACATCGGGCATCAGGTGTTAACCTATTGTTACAAGCCAATAGGCGCTCGATGGATGATGATTTCAACATCACGCCGGTTGCCTCGACTTCCTTGGATATCGCTGGCACTTATTGCATACTCTGTCAACCTAAGAATCAAGGACAGTTTGGGTAAAACCCTTCTTACTAGTGTAAACCGAAGACATTTGGTCAACAGCTGAGGGTCTAGATTTTACGCCACCATTGCTTGCATTTACAGAAGATTAGACAACGTAACCTTTCAGTAAAAAGCTGTATTCCATGCGGTACACTTGTCAAGTTCTCGTGCTGTGAATGTACTGTTATGTCTACTGATTAATATGTTAAAAAAACCTCTATCTTTCCCGGTAACAACATAAACACTTTCCGCAAATGGATAAACATATTTACCTGAACCATTACGTTCAAAACTGTGCTGGGACAATTCCTTAGTGGTCGCCATGTTTTGGAGTTCTGTGGCCTGAATGGTTGGGTTCTGTGGACGCGGAGAGGAAGAACGAATGTTGGTACATGGTAGAGTTGTGTTGATGAAGACTTCATAGATGAAACCGCCGAGCACGGCGCCTATGTGCGGTCCAGCAATAGGGATCCAGAAATAACCGTAGTTATTGTGGCTGGACATGAAGAGGATGAATTAAGGAAAGTAAAAAAAATACATCATTTTAAAATGGTAGTTCATGTATTTGTTTACTAATCTTGTGTTACCATTGCTAAACGGGAACAACAACAACACTGCCACCACCACCACCACCATAACCACCACGAAAAACAACAATACAAATTAAAAATTAAAACAACAGAAATGAAATGTCAGCGACGTTAATACCTGATCAACAATAAAGATGCCAGTAAACAGGTTGGGACTGAACAAGTGCTAAACTACACCAAATGGCAATATACTGAATAGTTCAGTAGAGATTCACAAAGAGCTGTTACTTAGATGCAACGAAAGCAGCGCAAGATGTCGCCCAACGCAAGCTTCCTTTGATGGTTTGTATTGTACAGTAATAATCCCCCATACACAAAGGTAACTTCTCTAGTATATTCTTTAAATATGCCCGAACAAATGCATGCGTTCTCTCCTATCTGAATGCTGCCCGACGTCGTGGAGATATCATGTTTGTGTGTGTGTGTGTGTGTGCACACAAAATAATGACGCTAAATAATGACAGATACCCATGTTAGACACAGATTAAAGACCGTAGAAGTGAGCTATTCACCTGGCGCTCGCGGGCCACATTAGGCCTAGTCAGTGGCCCACAGATCGTTGACAGTCGATGTGTTTTAATGGTTGGCGTCTGTGGCTTAGGTGTTGTGAACGGTTGTTCTAGGCAAATTTACGCCCAGTAGTTTGCCATTGCTTCTGGACGGTCGGCTTTCTGGATACCACTGTCGAAACCAACGCAAGGCGCATGGCCCGCAGCTGGGATCGAACCCGACATCCCGGCATTACGAAGTACTCTCATCGACTTAGCCACAGAGCCGACCAATGGTAAACTATTGGACGTAAATATGCCCCCCTCCCCCCCCCCCAAAAAAAAAAAAAAAAAAAACCACAACCCCCTAGCCCCTCCACACACAAAAAATAAAAAATGCTGGGGTTGGTTTTTAAATGTCCGGTGAAGGACACGCTACTCATTTTAATCTAATATTAATAATTTGTTTACACTGGGACTCGTGTCTCTGTCCGTGACGAACTACATTTTTAATAAAGGTCCGTGCGTAAACGTAATCGAAAAACGCTGCCGTGGAGTGCCTTAGATTTATATTCTGTATGTTTTTTTTGCGTCATTACCAGGGAAAAAAAAAAGATATAAAGAATGTCAGAGAATCTGAAGACACTGGACTAATGTAGTTCGCAAAGCATCCAATTCATCATTAATTAAAATTAATTACATTATCTTCTCCTGGATCGGCGGTAGAGCAGTGGCTAGTGGGTCCAGTGGTCAGGTGTTTGAAAACCCCAATAGGGGAAACAATATTCAAATCCTTTTGCGAGATCAACATTAACCACCGACTGACGACCGGTCCAAATAATATAGGTCTAGCCCTGTATGCCTAATACGCCTAAAGTCGTAGAAAAGCGTCCTTTTTCTTTTCTTTTACGATCAGCCGAGCTTAAAATGGACCTTAGAAAGTTTAAGTTAAGATGACCGTTGTGATACTGGCCATATTTCTTTTTGTTTGCTGATTTTGTGTATACACACTCTGGACTGACCTGGTATACACAATACTCATTAAATAGGAGAAACAGTCCAGTATATACTACTGAATTCTACATTTTCTTGGCATTTACAAGTTGTAAACTCCGGTGGAACTGATTTTTGTTTGTCCACCTCTAGACTTTAGTCTTATTCAAGAGCCTAAGTATTGCGTGCACATATATTTGTACAGACCTGACATATTTGTACGCAGACTGTTAGTTCCTTGCCTCTCAGGGCTGGGTAGACCTGGGAGCTAAAGTAATTTTCGAAAAGAAGTCTACCCCTGTCAGGACCAGAATCCATGACCTTCCGATCCGCAGGCGAGTGTCTAGCCGCTAGACCACCGCGGCTCCCAAATGATTCCTAATGGCTTCCTACAAAAGCACTTCTTTAAAAAGCGACTTGTGGGGATACACACAGATGCCCCATTATAACTTTTGTATAAATGAAAGGCTTTCCGAGATTTGTTTTGGATTCCTATCAAAACCATAGGTTTTCAGTCAATTTCAGGCTCATCATCAATCAGCAAGTCCTTTACAAAACGTCGCTCTCCTCACTGCACGCCTGAAAGTATCCCTTTCACCAGACAGCTCTCCAGCCCCATATGCTTTCAGTGTCGATGCATCTTGAATGTCCTGTATCCATCTTCGCGGAAGTCGACCACCGCCTCGCCTTCCACAAACTGCACTCTTCATCAACGTTTTTTTAAGCCACCAAGGTGTTATTTTCAGGCTGCTAACAGCGAAAAAAGGTTTTTTAAAACAAAAGTTAAAAAAAAAATGTTAACTTATACCTGAACACTTGTATACCCCAGCCGGCTGCGAATGTGAACACTCTTGGTGCCAAATCTCGTGCAGGATTGATTGGGTAGCCACAGTTGTGAGAGAAAGTCATCCCTATAGTGACTACCAGCAGACCCACCAGCAGGGGTACATATCCTTTGGAGGGTGCCATGTTGTTCGGATCATTCAGCGCCATTATTACTAGCATTAGTACGGCTGTAGCAAATATCTGGAAGTATGATAAAGAAGAATTCAAGAGGTACTGTCTAAACTTGTCTACAGCTGTTGCAAATATCTGGAAGTGCGATAAAGAAGAAATCAAGAGGTACTGTCTAAATTTGTGTACAGCTGTAGCAACTATCTGGAAGTATGATAAAGAAGAAATCAAAAGGTACTGTCTAATTTGTTTACAGCTGTAGCAAATATCTGAAAGTACGATAAAGAAGAAATCAAAAGGTACTGTCTAATTTGAGTACATATTATAATGTGTTGATGGAGTCAACGTGGTGTAGCGGCTAAACGCTCGCTTGCTGATCACTGGGTTGTGTGTTCGAGTCACAACCAAACTTTTGTGTGTGTGTGTGTGTGTTTTTTGGGGGGTTTAAATATGACCTTGCCTCGCAAGTCCTGACTGCCCAGACTGGGTACCTGGTAACGTCTTCAAAAGTAAAGGCGGCTGGTGTGATAAAGATCACATCACCCAATGACCGTCGATTCTTACATATACATATAGATCTAGCAATACATGCCCATTAGGCCTAAAGGCGTGAACAAGGGTCCTTTTGTTTCACTTTTATAATTTGCTGATTTGCAAAATTAAAAAAGTTTTTATATACGTCATGTTAAATAAGTATTTGACTTTCCTGATGACAGCAGATTATGGTAAAGGTAGAAGTAATGATGAGAGGATCGACTTCGTTGAACTGTTTTTTCTCCCCACATATGGCTCAGTCTCTGTCCGCAGAACTGGTAACAGTCTCTGTCCTCAGAACTGGTAACTGTCAGCCGAGAGCGTTACACATAGCACGACCTCCGTAGCTCTGGCAACGATCCTCAAGATCTTCGTAAAAACTGCACTCGTCAACTGACCGGCGCCGCTATAAAACGAACTCACGACCTTCAGACCGCGAGACAAATATCTAGACCACTTCACCACAGAGACCGACCCCACCCCCCCCCCCCACTCCACTCCCAGTAGAATATGAAAGCAAAATAAACAATATGTCAAGAAAAATCAGCATTCCATATGATAAGAAATTTCCCAAGCAATATATCTTTGTCAGTTGAGGTGAAAAAAATCTAAGAGTTCTTTCAAGAGCATTGTGCACTCCGTCCAGAAGTACAGAAGGCAATGATGGACGGTCAGCATAATAATGAGTCATTGCATAGTTGCTACATATATGTTACTGTCTTGAAAAAGACGAGGAGCATATCACAGACACACGAAAAGCTTCCTCATAGAAATCAGCTTGCAGAGGGAAAAGAGAGAACGAACATACTTTAATGTTAAAGGTAACACATTAGGCACGCAGGCCCGGTCCTTTCGCTCCTTTCGGTCCTTTCCAGCGTTAATCTCTCACACCACAACTGCACTTAATTAAGAAACGTGTTGTGGTAATACAACAGAAAATTTAGACAGTTAGCGCCGCCCCACCCCCACCCCCTAAAAATGTGTGTACAGTAATTGTTTTGGCTAGCTCTGTAATATTAAGAACAAGTAAAAACATCAACGCATGTAAGGCCAATGCGCAAGTTTAAATATACATACATATACACACATCCACACGCATTCTACACACATACACATATGGGTACAATATACATACAAACACATACACACATAATGCATTCACACATAAATACATGCACACACACATACATATATGTGTATACATGAATGTTTATAAATAAGGTCTAGCACTATATGCTCGATGATCCAAAGGCGTCAAGGTCTGTTACTAACTTAACTACTGTGAACATGTCATGTCCGCAATGCAAAGACAACCCCTTATTTTGAATAGACCAATACGATTTCACAGGACACTGGTTATAATCACATTTAAGGTTATCTTTTATTGTGGATCGAACTAAAAGTCCACTCTGTGAGGGATCCCAGTTATTACCTACTAAAGGGAAGTAAATGCAGAAACCTCTAAATGTATTTTTAAACGGAGTTACCACTCATACTAGACAGGCTATACAAGACTTGACCTGTTCACTTGCAGGAGAGCCGATAGACGACTTCGTCGCCTTTCCAGACAGTGTTTGGCTCTGTATCCTTTGATCGCATGAATACTGCAAGAGTCCTTGTCAGGGCTGCTTGGTAGCGAGCAATGCTAAACAAATTTAATGGCGGAAATAACCCAAGTCACGATTACAAGTTACAGCTCCCCGTTTGGTTTTGCTGGTTGAACGAAACGATTCTTTAAGTTTTTGTAATTATGTATCATCCAGTTTCGTCCTTTTTAGGACGAAATTTTTTGTCATTTGAAGCCCCACTCTGGCTTTTGCCAGGGGCCGCAATATAGGCAGGCCATAAATATGGCCAAATGTCTGAACGCGGTTTCTGGGACCTCTCTACGGCGATCCTTACCCGCTTTGGCACTTTGTGTCATCGGGTGTTTATCGCTTGTGTGATGTCCTGGTGGGGTAGAAAGTCAGTCAGTCAGTCAGTTTTTGTAAAAAACGTAGACGTAGTGCTTCTGGGATTTGACCTGGGGATATCCCAGTCGAGTGATGACGCATTTCACTTTGTGTCACAGGGCGTAGTCCTTAGTGTGAGGTCCTAGTCGGGTTCAGTTTCTCTCACTCACATGCAGGAGATGAGTACATTCAAAATCTTTCACAACAATCTTCTGGAAATACCAGGATGCCAAAGAGGGACTGAATTCTTTTTAATAAAAATATAGCCAGCAAAAGGGTATTCTCCAGAAACACAAGAGTAATTAAACATCACGTTATATAAGACATACGTCAGAACTTGTTTTACAAATATGCTCATATTCTGACTGTACTGAAAAAGAGAACAAGCTGCCATTCGCTGTACACCGTAACCGCCACGGTTACCAGTATAATCTTAATTATTGTTGAACGGGATGTCTGTGATTTGTTTCTGGAGCATTCTCATCCGAATAGTGACCATTTGCGTGTCCGGTTATTAATCACAGAGTGTGCGGTCCCAGTGGGGTCCAACGTCGCTCAAGAGAACCGGACTTTAAACAAGTTTAGAGATGGGGAAAGATGGAAAGAAGTCGAACAGGAAGAGGAAAATGAAGGAAAGAAAGGAAGAAGGAAGAAGACGATCGAATAAAGCAGAAAGAGCAGGCTGAACACAAAGAAAACTTGACTGTATACAAAAACGGAATAGATGTGACCAAAATTATCGATGTATGTGTAGGCATATATATATATATATATATATATATATATATATATATATATATATATATATATATATATATATATATATATATATATATATATTGAATCACAAAAAAAAAAAAACCATTTGTATAATCTAGGAACAGGGAGTGAAATGTAAATAAAAGTGTTTAAAAATGTACATATTAGGATTATTTGTTAATTTTGCTTTGCTTCCATGCTAGTAATTAATTTGTGCATGTGATTGATATGCGTTCTGTGCAGACAAGAAGAAAAAAAAAATGCAGCCAACTAAAAAAAAAAAAAAAATTTATTCACACTGTCTTCAGTATCTGGTATACCCACCGTGTGCTTACAAACAAGATTGGCAGCAGATCCGCCTAGAACGCAAACGTATCTGAAGAGGAATTCCATGTATTCTTTATGTTCGTGTAAAAACAGCGTATAGCTGCTGCAGATTAGCTGCAGGGCCTTGCCTGCAGACTCTGTCCAAGCTCGTCTTACAGATGTTTTATAGGAAGCATTGCTGGTGATAGGGCGTTACAATGTACTGATGCTGTAGATATTGCTGCGTAATTCGTAACGTGTGCGCACGTGCGTTATTCTGCTAGAGAAGCTGCAAGTCAGGAATATTTTTGAATGCAGAAACAACCTATGCACCCAAAACCTCATCTCGATATATCGCAGCATTAACACCGCCAGACCTGTTAGAATAAGATGCAACTTGGAGACATTGTAGAAAATAGGTATATCTTTTATCTAGCGCCAATATTCCACTTCTTTATGCCAATCCACCCAACAGGAGGAGCCTTGTTTAACACAGAGGTACTTCTTGAAAAGTGAGCACCAGATGTTTCTCCTCACCTGCTTGCAAGGATTTGTAAGACACTTCAGGATTTTGCCTGTTGTACCCGGAGTGCTGTTTCATGCACACACCACAGATATGATTAGACGATGTCCTAGTGGCAATCTCTAGAAAATGATTGCCTAGGGTAATCCGTTGAGGACAGGGTTCCTTGTGTGGATGGCGGTGACCTGATGTCCTGTATCCGGTAGTAAGTTGCAGGCACAGTTTCTGAAGCAGACATTCATTAACTGGTGCCTGCGCAAAATAGAGGGAATTAAATGGTATGATAGAATAACTAATGTAGAACTTTGGGAGAGAACTAAACAGGCTCCAGTGGATCAGGAAGTGAGGAAAAGACGCTGGCGTTGGATAGAACACAGACTGAGAAAACAGGAGAACAGCATAACTAGAATGTCTTTGCATTAGAACCCACAGGTGCATAGGAAAAGAGGAAGGCCAAAAAACACATGAAGAAGAGAGCTGGAGAATGAAGTTAGAAGATGGGGAGGACATTGAGAGAGCTGCATGCAATGGCGAAGGATAGAACGACTTGGCGTGAGTTAGTTGAGGGCCTATGTACCATTGGGGGATAGAAAGGCAGAAGAAGAAGAAGACAGTTTCTGAATATATCTGGTGAAATAAACTCGCTTTTTATTTGAAGTCTTTTGGTTCACTGTTCTCTGTAATAGATCTAGGAACGTTCACTTTTCCATCCTCAATGCAATTCATTTCTGTGTTTGGTGATACAACAAATTCCTTGTCCAACCCTCATAACCACTTTGATCTCCCTCATTAATTGTTTGAGGGACACGCCCTCCCTCCCCTCCCCTTAAAAAAATTATTGATCTAGTTCTAGATCTACAAGGTTCAAGATTCTCCTCATCACTCGAACTGTCACTGTCTGTGTTACTTGAATTGAAAACGCATTTCTGATGAAATTTTGACTCATCAGAGTGAATCAACCAAAGCATCAATCAAATGTTGGACTGTGATATGTCTAGACCTACTTCGCTTTTCTGTTGAACTGCTTGGTTCATCAGCCGCTCGTTTCATTGTGAATTTTCAGTCAATTCAGACACATGGAAGCAGAAATTTGCCACGGCCAACCATGAGGCTGGTTGGTTATTTTTAGTTTATGACAATTTTTTTTTTACGTACTTGCAAAGCACTGAAAATTAGGTACAGCGAAATTACTGAAAAATCGGTACAGCGGTCTGAAAAATTTGCACAGTAGTCATGAAGAGGTAAGCGACGGTTAAAACTAAATCCAGCTCAAATGTGAATACCACCACCTAAAAATAGGTTGTGCTGATAAACACATCAATCTGCCAAGCGATCTCCATCCTGACGCCAAATCCGCATAAGGGGTCACTACACGGCTTTTTTTCCAATTTATGACAAAAATATCACTTTTTTCGTTTTTGTTAAGTTCGGCATTCGTAAAATAGATTACACACAACATTTGTGTCATTTGTAAACAATTTAACATCGAAAAGTTAATACTAAACTCACCAACCCATGCATTTTTTCAAGATAACACAAGTTTAAAAGTCAGTTTTCTCACATCTCAATATTTCTGTTGTGTGTTTAAAATCCTAACATCTCAGTTAATATAAACACTAGAAACATGAAATTTAGTATCGATACTACTTAAACAATATTATAGGGACTGGTCTTCCTAAAAGTAGAGTTTAGGAAGCTTTTATTTTTCAAAATTTGATTATTTTCTCATCATGCAAGATTTTTTTTTTTGACTTTTTTTATTAAACCTACAATGTAAAATTCTACGAAAAATATTTAAAAACGTGTTTAAAGTAAATAAACTACACCTGTTCCCCTAAATATGATTAAAGGTCATGAATCTATCATTTATTGGTTAATATGTATGTTTTGCTTTTGAAATATAAGGATTCTAAGTACATGTTGGTTTTTCCCCAAGATGGCGGCTATCGCCATGACACCCATGATTTTTTTTTTTACACATAAAGGATGCAAATGCAAAAACATGTATCCCGTCAAATGACCATTATAAAATAATTGCTCTAACTCTGTAAATTAAACAAAAAAATTGTTTGGTGTAGTGACCCCATAAGCCACTTAGAACAGGATATATTAAACCTACTCTCGTCTGTGTATAGGACAGCAGACAACTGCAACCCAGTCCATCTGACAAGCTGATTTGCCCACTGAACGCCCTGCTAATGGTATATGTGAGTCAAGTTTGGCCAAACACACGGTCATCTTGCAGCAAGATCTGTATTTCTGAGTCCTCATGTGGCTGTCATTCGAGGGACTTGTCAACATTTACCAACTCTTGCTGTCCGACTTTCCGGAAGAAACACGATTCGTTAAGCATACACTATTCAATATGACGATCTTCTGCAGGTGAAGTAACTCGTAGTTAACCACTCCGACGTCTTTGCCATCATTTCCAGCAACTCTTTAACGTTCATTGAGACGCACAATAATGCGATGGTGAGAATTCATTCTTCTGGCAATAGCTTGCGGGTTACACATACCAATGGTTCGTTAGCGGTCGGTTTCAGACAGTCATGGCATTGCAAGCACATGTACTGTGTATTTAGTCTCAACAGTTTTAAAAAAAAATAAAATTCCTAGTTCACTGTTACAACGCCTACATTTTTTCAGAGTTATAGCTGTTGGAAATCTGGTTGCACCTGAAACTTTCATTATTTTCTAATAGACTATAGACTAACGTGTGGATTGCATCATGCACTCTCCCTTTCAGCAGCCATTCGCTCTCAATCTCATGATAAGCACTGGGACAATCTACTACCACTCCTCTGCATACCTACTCGGCAACAGTCTATATTATAATGATGCGTTTTTAATGTGGTCTAGCGTGTGTGTGTGTGTGTGTGTGTGTATATATATATATATATATATATATATATATATATATATATATATATGTATGTGTGTGTATGTTTGTGCATTTATATATGATTTTTAGTGTTTGCATCAGTTTCAGTGAAGCCTAATTTATTACTCACCTGGTCTGCTAATCCATTGACCGTAGAAAGATAAGGCTGTGGATATGTGGCAAATATACCAGCGGTCTCCAGGCTGCGGTTGCCGCTTTTGTATGTACTAAGGGCATCTGACAGACAACATTCAACATATTTTTAAGAATTTTAGGAAATCATAAGGAATACACACTAAGGCAACGTGATAAACATAATCTATGTTAAAAGTTAGTTGCGTATCCTTTACAAAACATTGCAGAACCAACCCCAGCATTATTTATTGGGCAGTTGTGGTTTCTCTAGGTATGTTTACGTCTATCGCTACTGCACTGGACGGTCGGCTTCTCGATACCACTGTTGAAACCAACGCAAGTTGCAAAGCCCACAGCTGGTATCGATCCTAACACCCCGTCATTACGATGCGCGTTCGCAATGCCTAAGCCACAGATGCTGAAATAATATATGTATGGGAGTTAACAAGGTCTGAAAATTAGTATTATTAATATTATTATTGTTATCATTGTTATAATAGTAATAATAATAATAATAATAATAATAATAATATTAATAATAAAAATAATAATAAACATAATAATAACTATTATTATTATATGCTACCAGTCGCTGTCATTAAACACAAGAAAAAGAGAAATGGAATGTCATGTTAAAACAGTGCTACGATATGGCAGTGATTCTTGGAATACGGGCAAACTAAGACGAACGTGAACCCGTGGAGATAGGGTTTCTGGGACGAATGAACCTAATACTGTGGACAGTTAGAGTAACTATCATCGACAGCCTGGAATAGGATAATGAAATTATAACACTTTATGTAACTATAAGAAAGAGGCAGTCAGAATTCTGGAAATGGACGGAATTTTTTTTTTTTTTAGTATCCAGAAGCCATGAGTTGTTAACCTTTAGGTTCAATATAATGAATATCGCAACCTTCGGTCTTGATTCCATTGTAAATACCATAAATCTAGGAGAAATGTGGCTTTTCTGCCTACCCCTGGGCGTGAACTCGGACCACAAGGAATTCGTCACCCGGTCACCGCGCAGTTCGGTTCAGCCAACTACGCTAGCGAGCCTGTGGAAATGGAAGGGATAAACCCACTTCCTCCCTAACAATTAGGTCGCGAGAGTCGACTAATTAGGATTTTCCTTCGAAGTCCGAGTGCATCTGCCTCAAAGTTACACAAACAAGAGTTTGAAAAAAAAAAAAAAGTCACATCTATGAACCTGATGTGTACATTAAACGCAAGTTCTGAAACAAGAGTCCAGAAAGTTAATTAACATCATCAACACCCCCCCCCTCTCTCTCCCCCATCTAAAAAAGAAGAATGCGGATAACAACAGGCTGCGAGTACAACACAATACAACAACTTTTCACATGAAATCCATAGCTCACAGTGTCGCAAGCACTCAGCTCAGTAATTAGGCTCTGGAACCTATGGACTTCCGTGTCCAGAAATTAGGTTTCTGTGTCAGCAAAACCTATCTGCCGGAAGAGGTTGGGGGATAAGGGAGAGGGTGGGGGAGTCTTTTCAGAGCATCACTGGTCAGTAGGCTATCAGCTGTCTGGGCCAGACATCCCTGCGACGCTTAAGTGAGTAATAACATCTGAATATCCTAGTTCAATTCCACGGTCTCGCCCTTATCTTTGACAGTTCTAGTGTATTAGTAGAAAATAGCAGTTCTAGAATATCCACATGGGTTGTTCCTAGGAACTAAACAGTTTTCTCATGATAACAATCAGTTGCTTTTACCTGATATTTTTTGTTTAATCTTCGAAACTTGTCTCAGGCTTGATTGTCTAAGTATTGATTTTACAGTAGCGTTATAAAACCTGATTCTGTTATCTTACAGATATTGAATGACTTAATTACTGGGCATGCTGCTATAAAGGTAACTCATTCTTGTTAACTCTTTGAACCACAAGCAAGGCATGCTATGTCTGGAGGTCTCCACGAGAACGTAGTTAAGCCATTTCGTTCGCGCTCTGAAGGGTACGGGTGTGTTTCTCAGACTATGTCGTTGCATTATGAGTGCACTTTTACGATCCTTGGGTATCGTCGCTAGAACCACAGAGTTCGTGCTTTGTGTGACATATTCGACACGCTGTTATCTGTTCTGTGGTAAGAGACCGGGTAATATAGGATATAGTTCAGATGCAATGACGTCGATCCATTCGACTTTGACTGGAGCTTTCATGGCTTATCTGTGGCTAGTTTAAGTGGAATGGAGCAGATTGAAGACATATAACTGGGGTGATCAGTCCATGCTCTGTTTCCTATTTTGTCTACATAACCCAGCCTACAGTTTGAACGGGATTTTGGGGATCTGTCCTAAGATGACCCTCATCCGAAAGGTGGCACTTTGTGTCACCTGGTATTTATCCCTCTGTGCGAGTCCTTGGCGGGGTTGAACAACATCATCAACATTTCGCTACTTGTTCATCAGCAGTTGAAGCTTCTGGAACTAAATACAACATGGCAAATTTGTTTGGATATTTTGCTATATCCAGTAAGACTCGCACTTTGTTTCTATGTTATAATGCCTTCATAATATTATTCTGTTTGTATTACACTGCTTTTGAAAAGAAATAATTATTCACATGTTTTGTGTCACGACAGACATGTGAGTTTAGGTAATTCCCTTCAGTCTGTGTGTGTGTGTGTGTGTGTGTGTGTGTGCTTCTGGTGATTGTTTTTTTTTAGGATTACTGCCTGAAGGATTAACACCTAAAGTAGGAGGATCATACAAAAGCAAATCCTCCCAAAAAAAAAAACAGTTTATTCGTACAGTTTAAAAGTAAAGATCCTTTTCCCGCGCTTTTAGGCATGTTGAATGGGCATACAGGGCTAGACAAATATCTTATCAACAACTCAGCACTTGGTGGGTGATGTGGTAAACAGCACGCAAGTCAGCTTTAACTCTAGACTTTACCTAGTACCAACTCAAGACTGGGTCGACATTGGAGCCAAGGTCAATATTTTTTAAACAGTCCGGCCACGTCAGGAGCCAAAGCCACGACCTTATGAGCAGCAGACAAGCGTCTAACCGCTACACCACAGAGGCTCACCGCTTGTTCGTATTCTTAAACTATATTAGGGTATTCTTGCGGGTACGAATTAACAAGCAGTTCAACGTGGGCATGGGATTCCAAAACTTCTCGTCTTTGCTTTTCCTATTAAATTGTATGAGGCTGAATCCTAACCTTACCTTTTATAGTCCACTCAGTGTGGCGCTGGTAGTCATGTCTATTCACAAACATCTGCCTCATGTACCTTAATTCAAATTTAACGCAAATTAATTTCTATGCCATGATGTCAAACTGTCCAGTGCCTTATGTTTCTGTAGCCAGACGGCAAGAGCTATTGAATTTAGTTTGATTGCACATGCGAAGAAACCTGACCAGTCAAAAGGTAATCAAAGATCGAGGCACACGAAAGACGCTCTGCTTTTGACTCTACCGGTCGGCTCGCTATGGTCAAACGCCCTGTCTGCCGTTGCTTGACAGCACGCAGTCTCACTGCAGTGCAGGTGTGTAAGATGGAGCCGGCAAAAGATTGCTGCCTTAATGGCGGTAGTATGGTTCCATAGTTAAATCTGAATTTACCTCTGGTAGTTAAACTGTGTAGAGATATATCAATGTGTATCATCGCTCGGAGGGATATTTCATTTTATTAGTGAGATGCACACTTTGATGGTTGTCAATGTTTAATTATTTGTGAATATCCCTTTTATGTATTCAGTGGAATAAACAGATGTTGAATGTCATAAGTATAGCTCAAGTTGTTTGATTCGAATTAGGACTTGTAGTTAGTTTGCCTAGTTTAACTGATTCTGCTATTCTAACTACACAGAGCATTTCCTCTTTGGGTTAAGACAAAATGGTCTTAGCTCCCGCCCACAGAACATTTTCTTTTCTTTTTGTTTGTTTGTTACTGAGGCAGCTTAAGTGTGGGTTTGCTTCCACTAGCCACGACATCGTTGCAGCTTTTGTTGGTTTGGAGTCGAGCTGGGTTTACGGAGTAGATT